TGGCGAGGTTCCAAGTACGACGACGACAGCACATTGGCCAGGGGCTGGCATAGGGTTTAGGATTTAGGGTTTAGGGTTTAGGGTTTACATCGAACACGGGTAATATAGGGCCCTAATAATTAGAATGGGGTTTTGGGGGGGCCTTGTATCGTATATTTAGAGTAAGGAACCCCCACAATAATGTAGGTAATTATTTAAGCCCCGTACTTGGAGGATCATGGGACTTAGTAACCAGGGTTATAAGTAAGGCAACTATACTTATAACCCCAACTAGGGTACTTATAATCTTATTTACTAGGTCCCATGATCCTCTAAGTATACTGGTATAGAAGATGCCCCGGCTCCGACAAACGGAAGTCCTCCAAGTCGGCCTGATCCAGCCTCCAGGCATTTGGATTGGAGCAAAAAGATCTCTGTGAAGGGTTTAGGGTTTGGGGTTTAGGGTTTAGGGTTTACCAAAACCCTAAACCCAAAACCCTATACCCTATATCCTAAACCGTAATCCCTAATCCCTAAACCCTAAACCCTTAACCCTAGACCCCCTAAAGCAGTGGCAGAAGTGGGTGACCTCCGACGAATGCCGCACACAAACCCTGTGCATGCCGACAGTATCAGTGGACTTAGTATAAGTACGCAGTATGGTTTCGGGATTCTCCCACCCGCCCAGCTGGCTATGTCGCACCACAGGGAAACTTGCCAGGAAAGAAAGACAGCCCCTACTTGGAGGATCATGGGACTTAGTACCTAGGGTTATAAATAAGGTAACTATATTTATAACCCCAATTAGGATACTTATAACCTTACTGACTAAGTCCCATGATCCTCCAAGTAGGGTCCCTTGAAATCGCACCCCGAAAGGCCCAGAAACAAGTATCAACAGTACAGTCAGCACGACTACAAGGGATGCCGAGGCCGGAGACCTAGCAGTTGCGATGGACAGGTTTAGGGTTTAGGGTTTTTCCCTCTCGCATAGGGTGTAGGGCCTAGGGTTTAAGTCCAAAGTCTTCATTAGAAAGAGTGCAAGCCATGCGCGGAACCTCATAAACCAGCTACCGGCATAATAGAGATACGCAGCCCCCGAACCGAGTCAAACACAATCAGGATCGCGCCCTTCTTCCATCACCAGCTTCCCACCCTAAACGCAAAACCCAAACCTCTAAACCCAAAACCCAAACCTGTAAACAAAACACCCTAAACCCAAAAAATGCCAGCCTTCCCACGCCGGACTCCCGAAAGCTCTTCGAGCGCCCGAAGCTCTTTGAGTGCCCCAGGCTCTTGGAGTGTCCGAAGCTCCGAGAGCCTCTTGGGAATTTAGGGTTTAGGGTTTAGGGTTTAGGGATTAGGGTTTAGAGTTTAGGGATTAGGGTTTAGGGTTCAGAGATTAGGGTTTAGGGTTTAGGGTTTAGGGTTTCGACTCACGCACTCGCAAAGCAGGCATGGCAATAAGTGTCCGAGGTTGCTACGTGGACGTGCTAGGCATTGTAAGTAGAGAGCAGTGGCAGTTGCGTCCAAAGCATGAACGAGCAAACCACCCAGGCCATAAACACACATAGGATAAACAAGAAATGGAATAATAATATTGGAATCCTGCTCTCTGTACTTACTGCCCTGACGCCCTGGTCATTCAGCCCGTGGCTAGGGTTTAGGGTTTAGGGATTAGGGTTTAGGCTTTAGGGATTGGGGTTTAGGGTTTCAGCACTCACTCTCGAACATGTCTAGGCGAGGTTCCTGGTACACGACGGTTTAGGGATTCGGGTTTAGGGATTCAATAGGGTTGTATTAGGTTGGAAAGGGATGTATAGGGATTGATGAGGTTTCATAGGAACTATCAGGCGTTTAAGGGATTTATAGGGACTGAGTAGGCTTCATAGGAATTATTAGGAGTTGACGGGATTTATCAGGGTTGACGGGATTTATAAGGGTTGATGAGGTTTCGTAGGAAGTATGAAGCGCTTAAAGGGGATGTATAGGGATTGATGAGGTTTCATCGGAATTATCAGGCGCTTCAGGGATTTGTTTATAGGGACTGAGTAGGTTTGATAGGAATTATTGGGAGTTGCCGGGATTTATAATGGTTGATGAGGCTTCGTAGGAAGTATGAGGCGTTTAAAGTGGATGTATAGGGATTGATGAGGTTTCATAGGAATTATCAGGCCTTTAAGGGATTTATAGGGATTGACGCGGTTTCATAGGAATTATTAAGAGCTTCGGGATTTATAAGGGTTGATGAGGTTTCATAATTAGGGGATTTGTGGCCTTGACATTTTTCTTTGTGAGCATCTATGAGCTTATGGGAGTTTATATGGCTTTACGAGCAGGTTGACGGGCGAGGGGGTTATGCCGATCTCGGCCAGATGAGGTATTTGGAGGCAAAATCAAACCAATGTCCGCTCTATAATATACCAAAAAGCACTATAACACGGTACTAAAATACACTACAATAGCTACGATGCAGGACAATAATACACTGAAATATGCCATAATCCATTTCAACATCGTGCTCACTGCTCCTGTTTCCGCAGCCTACGATCGAAGTCAAAGTTCCGTTCGACACGCCGGCCTTTTGTGCCCGACCGCAGCAAACGGCGTGATGTGGACGAGCGGGATAGCCTGCTTCGGATCTCGGGCATCTGATGTGCTCCGTCTGGTTGGTTTTTGACGGACTTCATGGTATACCACAGCATACTACAAGACCGCATCCACCGACCCCTTTCGGAGAAGCGGCTTGCATGGCAGGTCATCGCTGTCACTCCCATACCCCCACCTCCCTACCCCTGTCCCTATACTCTCTACTCCTGTGCCCCGGCCCCCGAGTCCCCAAGCTCTCCGGCTCCTTGCCCCCCTACTCTGCTACACCCTTTACCAGTACACACCATGGCTCTTGTGGACAGACTCGCGCATTCGCCCGCGTCATCAGTTCGTAGCCGCAGCTTGGGCGCGAGACGATTGGTCGAGCTGGACACGGCACTGTCGCTTTAGCTTGAGATGCTCGGACATCGCGCACGTTCTGGAGGTTCCTGCGCACTTGCAGTGGCAATTAATTTCTACTAATGTCTAATGTGTGATTCTCGAACTACACGGGGTTATATGCTAGACGCGGCTTGCCGGGGTCGGCGGCAGCAGCGTCAGGACTTAAATCGGGCAGCACTCGGTCCCCGAGCGCATGCGCCCTGTGAGTTCGAGCCTCGGGCGAGCTTTAGCTTGTTAGCTTTGCGTTAGCAAAAGGCGCGACCGCCAGTGTCGCCGACCCCACCCAATTTCGAGTTTTTTTTGGGGGGGGGCGTAATTTTGGGGTAGCCATGGGTAGCCACCAAAGGGCGCGCATCATGAGCATCAGTGGGGTCCTGGGGCCTGGGTACACGGGGGACCCCCCCGTGCTTGGCATGTTGTTCTAGATGGTTTACGGTTTGAAGCTCAAGTTTGCATCGGTTTGTCCGGGCTGCTACCTGCGCTGCTCGCCGGTGGGCGCAGCAGCTAGAATCGGGCCGCGCTCGGTCCCCGAGCGCACGCGCCCTGTGAGTTCGAGTCTCAGGCGAGCCGCAGCTTGCAAGCTTCGCTTTAAAGCAAAAGGCGCGACGCGCTGTGCCGCCGACCCTGCTTCATGGGATCTGCGTTTTTCCATCGGGCCGCGTGGCACCTCGTTTGGAGGCTCACCGGGCAACTCACGCGTTTTGCGGCCATTCCCCAGGGTGTGGCGGGTTTTGGGGCACCGTGGGCGACCCCAGGAGGGCATCCGGCGAGCATCACGAGCGCCCGGCTCGCAGGCGCCCACTCAGCGCGAGGCGATGTTTTGCAAGTTTTTGACTGCGTTGCGGAAGCCCCCAAAGGGCACGCATCATCAGCATCAGCAGGGTTCGGCACAGATGGGGGGGGGCGCGGCCTTGCTCCGGGCTGGTACCTGCGCTGCCCGCCCGTGGGCGCGGCCCCTAGAATAATATCGTATATTTTTGTACTGTATTACGGTATACTGGAACCTACCAGAAGCTACAGCTCTGAGCCAGGGCTCGTCACGACGACAACGGCATCAATGCATTCCAAGCCGCGACTTGTGCATCTCTCTGGTCGACCTCCGTGACGGTGGGTCGGACTCCCTGCCTCAGTCGAAGTGCCAAGCAGCACAATCTCAGAATCACGGGACATGTTCAACCCAGAGGGGTGCAAGATGCTTGCTGACCCACGCCAACAATGAAGAATGTGAAGGAGTCTGAGATTGAGACTGTTGCTATCTTCATTGAGGCTCTCGTTCTCTTTGGAGTTCTCTTTGGAGGCACCTGGTCAGATCTGACTTCCCTTTGAAACCTGGGCCTTGATTTCGGTCGCATAGCATCAAGGCCCCGGTTCCCCTCGTTCAGCTTGAGACTTTGAACATCTTTGAACCTACCAGCCTACCAACCCATCAGCACCCCTCCTCCTGCGTCATCTTCATCTGCGTCCGGCTCTTCTTCAACAAATACTGCCATGTTGACAGCGCCCACTTCGGCTTTGCAAAGATCTGGGCCTTAGCTGGGGTCATGAGCCTTACTTGACGTCGGGAATCACAACTCATCATCCTCGACCCGGATCGTCTACACCAGTCTGACGGGAGAAACGCAGGAATTCCAAGCAGCTGTTGTCGCGAGATGCCGCGGCCACTGCTATGCCCAGGGCCTCGCAGACAGGGAGAAACAGCCTTCGATGCAAGAGCCGGAGCCTCGCCCGCCCCCCCCCCCTCACCCCCGCTGCCAGCAAAAAAGCTTGGCCGAATGAAGGAAGACGCGAAATGGAGTTTGACTAGTTTCAAGACCTTGGCTCAACCATGAATTTCTGTTTCCAATCCGCAAGCCATGCCTCCGATGGAGATGGTTTCCGGCGCACAGGAAAGCCATGTGGGCGACCATTGCACCAGGAACTATCAGCTATCGTTGTACCAGAGCAAACCATGTGGGCTTCGGCATTGTGGCCGCCACTGCGGGCGTCTTTCGGCATTGTTTCCTCCTTCTTCCCAGGCTTTCTGTCCGTCGGACTGCTTGATTCAATGCAATGCCTCATAACAAAGATAATTATGGTTGCTTTGGTTTTTGGCATTTTTTAAACTCCCCGGTCAGGGGTGGGGTGAAACTTGTGCCAAACTGAATGACAAAACATGGCCGATCATGCTGTTCGTTGGAAACAACAAGCGACCTCTCGTCGCGGCACGTCAAACCTTTCTTTCACACCAGTAGTTTCTGCCATGCGCCATCTGGAGGTCAAGCACGCAGTTCGCATCATTGCTTTTCAGAGCTCTTCTATTCGAGCTGTGCCTGCTCCAGCACCTGCAACCGACCACTGACATCGAGAAGCAGGTGCATCCAGAAGTGCTGAGATTCTTCGCATGGTGGCCAGCAGCTGCGCACGTCGCTTTCAGAGAATATGTATTCTACGGGATGCCGCCAGGGTGTCCAAGACCTCGCGCTGCCTCAGAAGTGCATAAGAGGCGCCTGGTAAAATCCGGAGGCCCACTGTTTGGAGCTGGTTCGTGTCCTGCAAGGCCTTGGTGACAGGAGCCCGTGAATTCACGTGCGCATCACGACTAGCAGGGCAGTTGTTTAGTGTTTAGGGCTTTAGGGTTTAGGAGCATCTAAACTTCATTGCTGAGCGGTTCCTAGGGCTCCTGAGAGCTGCCAGTATGCCAGAATGTGCGGCAGGGCAAATGCCACCGACACGGCAGCACTAAAGGTGGCCACTCAGCCGCGGACGAAGTGGATCGGGCTGTCCAAACCGGCATGGGCGGAGCCTCCCAAGTGATCGGATGAGCTGCTCGAACGGTACAGGGCTTTGTCACTAGCTCGCTGCTTGAGGTACAGGATGGTACAGGTGTGTCGGCTTCATGCATGTGGATCGGGTTTGCGCCGTGTTGAGCGACTTTCGGGCTCGGACATCCCAGCACTAGAAGCGACGTCTGAGGCTGCCGCGATGGACCAGTCTCGCACGCAGGCCCACAGACCTCGCCAAGACTCATAAAAGCCAAAGAGCTGCATTGAAAGCGGTTCGCTTGTCACTTGAAGCTGGGCCGCCTGCCAGACGGCTAGGTTGATGCAACGCATCAACCTCGAGCTGTTGTATCAAGCAGTGTCCAGCCTCGCACAGACCTATAGCCTATAACATGGAGCACCAAGACGCTAGCCTCACCGCAGACATTGTCCGGCTGCGGCAAGAGATGACAAGAAGTCCTCACAGCCACTTCTAGCAAGGACAGCAGGGCTGTGTTCAGACATTAACTAGTACTTGTCCTGCCCAGCACACTGTAGCTTGGTTCCCCAGTGTCAATGTAGCTGGTAGGACGGAGTAGGGATCCCAGTGGAGCGCAATCTACCTCCAAGCCTTATTGAACGGGAGTTGTGGCGCGGCAGGCCTAGGCTCCCCTCCTACGTACTGTCCTTCCCCTGCGAATTGCAAGTGCAACTGCTACTACTGCGACTGCGACTGTTGCTGCCCGCGCTCCTGAGACTGCTCTTTATACTCATCCGCCTACTGCATCCTACTGCCAGTCATCTGTTCTGCGTCTGCGCTAGGAGCCGCTTAGACAGTACCTGCTACATGACGATGACTGATGATTTCCGATTTCGGTCAAGTTACGTCAGGCTCACTCGTCCGAAGCAAACCTAACCATCCAAATATGTGTCCTCAAGAGCGACTGACTTCAAACCCGTCGGCTGCCGCTCCTCCGGGCTTGGTCGCGGATGCGGCGAGTGCAGTCCAGGCAGTGTACCTCAAGCTAAACAACCTGCCTGACGCGAGTCCAGCTCCGTCTAGTGTAGCTCTTATATCCTCCATCCTTGTGCTGATTTACCATATTTGCGCATTTTGGCTTGGGTTGTGTACCCTGGCCCTCACCAACCCGCGCTTTGCCATCGTTGGTCATGGTTTGGTGGTGGTGGTGGTGGTGGTGGCGCCGGTGGCGGCCTTGGCGGTGGTGGCGGTGGTTGCGGTGGCGGCGGCGGTGGTGGCGGTAGTGGTGGTGATGGTGCTGGAGGTTCGCGTGACGCTGATTGCTGTTGTCTGCTCCCTTTCAAGCCTCACTGATACTGGCCATGCTGAATAGCAATAGGTCTGGGTTTGCGGACAGCCGCGCCCCCTCTTCCACACTGCCATAGGTTGGTGCCTCGGCAATCACCACCGTAACAGGAGCCAGACATCAGAATGATCCGACTCTTCGTAGCGACTCCTATTATCGGTACCAGTGCTCGGCACTGTTGACACGAACTAGCTGCAACTAGCTCTTCTTTGCCATGTATAGACCGTGGAGCATCAAGGACCCAGCAAGTGGAGGTGGCTCCAAAGAGACCTGGCTTGTGGCTGCCATCTCTCTGCACTGTTTTCCGGAATGTTCCCGGAATCCCGAACTCAAGACAAGCTGGAGAGGCGATGTCGAAACTGCAGTGGGACCTAGGTGCTTTGGCTCAGAGATGTGCGCCAGTCGCCAGTCGCACAGCCATTCAGCTAACTTGATCCAACTTGAAGCCATCCGCCTTCCTTTTTCGATGCTTTCACATTCCCTCCCCTCTCACCTCCCTGCTCTGAGGGGTGCTGGCAAACACAACTCCACGTTCAGGCAATGCGCATAAAGGGCACGTCGGCCACGGCTTCCGCAGACAAGCTCTGTATGGCCCCCGTTTCCTCACCCGAAACGGCATCCAGAATCACCAAACTCTTGCGGTGCAGGACTTGTTTACCTAGAGATGAGAAGCTGAACCGGGGCTCTTGAGAAGCCTCGCGAAGAGATGGCCCAAGAACTAGTGAGAACTGTCTTCAACCTCTTAACCTCTTGGCAGCGGATCGTCCCTCCCCCTCCCGATGATACTAGGGAGAGGTGTAGGATCCAGCAATTGAGAAATCCAAACTCTGAAACGAAACCGGTCCTCTCTGTCTCTGGCTCCTGTCTGGCACGGTCCGGGCTCATGGCAACTCGCCTCCCAGCTCGGAAAGACTGGGCTCCTGAACGGTACAGAACCTCTGCTGCCTCTTGCTTCCCTGTTTTAGCAAGGATCGAAATCAAGTATGGTCCAACTTGTAGCATGATTTAACCTGACAGCCTTCGCGACCCGAGAACCGAAGAGAGACGAAGCTGCAGTATCTGTTGGTATTGTTGTCCTGCCGTACAAGGTGAACCGCAAAACCTCCGGTCCCAAAGACCCAGCGGACGGCGCCTTGCTCAAGGAAGAAACTGTGAGCTTGTCGGGGCATCCGTTCCTGCGAGACGAGGAAAAGTGCCTTCATAACTACAATATGGCTTCTAACGGTTCTTCTGCGGTTTAAGGGATTTGCGCAGGGTTTGGGGTCTAGCATAGAAGAGTCTTCTTCGAGAGTGCCGGGGGCTACGATTCTGATCGCTAATTATTTAGACCTCCCGCTTAGCGGCATGGGGAGGCCCCGCACGAAACGAAAGCCGGGGCTCAAAAGTCCGCAGCCCCAATAATTGAAAACCCACACAGACGATCCAAAGCCGTTGTGAGTCATGTACTTCCTTCCGACCAGGTAACCATCAGCAGCTTGACTGCAAACCCCTCAACCCCTAAGCCTGAACAGGATTGGGGCCATGGGCCTCGCCGCCAATGTCTCCAAAGCTTCTTTGGCCTGCTCAGGGAAACCTCGATCAGGTCGCTGGCTCCAGTTGAATTTGAATGGGGACTTTGGGGAACATTCTACGATAACTATTTCGAGGAACTTTTAGAAAATATATGGTAAGTTTTTGGCTGTACAAGTTCACAGCCCTTGGGACCTTCCGGGTTTGCGGCTTAGGGTACTCAGGTTTGGGGGTACTAGAGTTTACGCGTGTTGGGATACTTCGGGTTTCGGCTCCTGTCGAGGGCTTGCGGCGTAGTCTATAGCAGTCTTAGAGGTGGTGTCTTCGAGAGGATTCTCAAGCCCCAGAACACAAACCGTGCACTGAGTGCAGTACCCCAGGCCGGCACGAAGCAGCTGGACTGAGCACCCTGCCTCAGGTAGCTGGCGGCAACCGTTTCCAGAACTCAGGCACTGCAGCTACGATTTTTCAAATGTTGACAAATTATGTATTTTGTATGTGTGTGTGCGCGTGAATGTGTGTCTTGTGTCATCTCTTTGCATCTCTGTCAGTAGGTATACGTAAGACGGGAGGGTGTGAAGGATAGTCTGATACGTCTGCTGCCTTTGTCTTGTGCTCGGACTGGTTTAAAGTCCGGGTGGCGACGTATGCATGCAAGATGCCTCGTCGGCAAGAGTTTGCAGTTGACACTTCCGCAATGCTCCTCTGAAGTGTGCACATGTAAGCCACAGCGCAGCCCGACACACGGCACAAGCTGAGGAAGCAGCGCAGCACAAAACACGCCGGAGCTCTCGCCGAAGAGGCTGAGCACCTGCCAGATCCGTTGTGAAGCCCCGAAACTTCTTGCGCATATACTGGAAAGGTTAGACATCGAAGTACACGCCTGTGGAGTCCTCCGCACCGGCTGCGGAGCTGATGCTTTGTGGCCTTGGTTTTAAGGCCGACAGACAAGACTTTGCTTGGTATCTCGACTCTCACAGGGTTTCGGGCTGTTAGTTGTTTTGTCTTTCTTGTGGTGGGGGCAAGGCTGAGGATCGTCCGCTTCCTAGCAAAAGCCTGAAATCACACCAGCACCGGACTTCTTGCAGGTTCAGTGCTATGTTTCACCCATATCCTTAGCACTCAAGCTGGACTGAGCTCAACGCGTTGGTGAGCAATTGTGGTGGGCGGGCCTGCCAGATTGCTTAGAGACTACTGCACGAACTGGTGTCGATACAGTTTGGTCCTGCTAATGACAGAAAACCTTCTGTAGTAAGCACCCTTGGAACCGGATGTCCGGCTAACTTCAGAAAAATCCAAGGACCGCAAAAGCACTGAAAAGATTTTAGCCAATGTCTCTGGAAGGCACAACTCAACGAGCGGAAACAAAAATTAAGCGCTGCCCAATTCAACAGAATCCAACAAGCAAATGTATAAAGAAGTGAAAACAAAAAAAATTATAATTATATATATATAAATTTGTATTTATACACAGGTAAACAAAGACATGAACAATTGAATAAACACATTCATACATAAATGAACAAATAAATACATATATATATATATACGTGTTTGCATGTACGCACATATGTATGCCTGTAATCTGATATATATAAATATAAATCTTTATTTATATTTATTTATATATATATATAAATACATACATATATACATGTATACATATATACATATATACATGTATGCATATATACAGATATACATATATACATATATACATGTATACATATATACATGTATACATATATACATACATAAATACATATATACATATTAAAATACATATATACATATATAAATACATATGGACATAAATGAATACATATATACAAAAATAACTTCGTATATACATATATAAATACATATATA